AAGTGATGGCGTGTGATAAAAACAACACAGCATGAACACTGTAAAATACTTTATTTTCGCTTGGAATTAATATTCGCTATTTTCGCTGAAGGAATGATTCAATGAAAATAAAATCCAGCGAATACACCATTTTGCCTACAGGTATATTTTACATTCCACTTGCCAAAAAGCAGTGAAAATAAAATAAATTCCATACAAATTAAAACACCCAAAGATTCTTTTCAGGGAAAAGTAATTCCAGCTAAAATAAAGTATTTTACAGTATACAATGTAGACAACATTTGCACTTTGAGAAGATTTACCTTTTCCAGCACTCAGGTACTTGTACAAATATATACCCATATTTAGTTAGTAATATTATATAAATGTCTTTATTACATAACATGTACATGACCTGTAAGTCATATTTAACCAAACTCGAAAATTTCATTTCACTAATATTTAAATTTTAAACAAATTAAAAACTTAAAATATGTAAAATCTGTAAACGCCATTCGAGTTAAATACCTTCCTATTGTTTCGTTGGTTTAACGTCGAGAGAGCCCATGGACCCACGAAACAATGGAAAAGTTAGCCCTGCACTCAGCACTGTACGCAGGCTATGGAAAAGTAACCTTAATTTTATCTGAGACCGGCCGTTTTCGTCAATAGCCCTTTCCAAGTATACGTTGTGCAATGTGCATTTGATCAATAGTATTTCATCGGGCACGCATTTGCTCAATACAATAGGTATTGTTATATTAACCGATTTTCCTTTCCGACCGTCTCGCACTGACAGCTGTTATAAAATATACATGTACTAGTAATTCACCGTTGCACGCTGGACCACAATGACAGGGATCATCGGTAAGTTAATTGATCTCCAGCTGATGAGAAGAGGAGTCGCTGAATCGTAGGACATGGTGGTGAATATTGTATTGGGTGATAAAATACCAACCTACCTTATCCCACCAAACCGAATAAACTGTCACGAAAGTGAAACAGGAAGTAACACCATGCGAGTTGAAATACAGCAATCGTGTTGCAATGAACCGACGGTGACTATTTGCGACACGGCAAAAATTCATTGCTGCAATATTATCTATCAGAAAACATGTTATTATTTGTTCAAGGCGTCCACGCATATTGAATTATTGTTATAACTCTTACTTAGAAGAAAATACAGAAAACCGTTTAATATATTATTAAAAACTACATTTATTTAATGTCGCTTTTCACGTGGCGATATGCCGTAAAACGTTTTGTTTTCACTTCCGGGTCAAAGTGTACTTCATGTTGAAAGCGTGTTTTTTTTCATCAACATGTTGTTTTGAGAACTGCTGTATGATCGTAATCAATTTTTAACCAGAATTCAGTATAAGCTAGTAACATCGCGTGATAATTTAGATCACAATGTCGGATGATGTGCATTTCGACGAGACAAGCGGCATCGAATCGATGAAAACAGCATGGGGCCAGTGGTATCAGACCATGGAAGAAGTCTATGTGGAAATCGATCTTGAAGAAGGAACAAAAAGCAAAGAGGTGAAGGTGGAGACGAAGATAAAATACCTAAAAGTTATTGTACGTGGACAAGAAATAATCAAGGTAAGTCGCATAAACATTCAATCACGCAATTAACAATTAATAATAAATTGTACTGATCTAAACATTGCGAATTTCAGCCGCTCAAGTGACTGTGTGACCAATACCCCAAATTATTGTATTGGTAGTTACGAGTCAATATAACTACCAGTGTACAACAAAATCTGCATAGTTGTAAGATTTAGCCTCAATACTGCACATACTTAGTGCATGGTGATATTAATAATTTTTTTATTTGTATGCTAAATTTGTAATTTTTATTTTCAGGGGGACCTCTTTGCTAAAGTGGTGACGAATGAATGTGTGTGGAGCCTCGGTAAGTGAGGTCTGAGGAAAACATTTCAGAGAATTTCATGGCATGTAAATTTATGAAACATTGACCCAGAAAGACCCTTATGCTTGCATTGTGGAAGTAATTGAGTAATGCTGATTACTCATAATTATTTAGAATTTCCTTCATTTATTGGTCAATTTATGATGTGTCTATTAATGCGTTGTGATTGGTCAAGTTGTTTTCAAGCGTCATTGGAAAATTATAAATATTTTATATAAAAACGTATTGATGCCTTCATGAAATCTTCTGAATGTGATGTATATACAGAATAATGTAAAATACTTTATTTTCTCTGAAGAAATGATTCAGTAAAAATAGAATTCTGCGAGTATACCTTTTTAGTCCCCGTTCGGACGCAGTCCAAAAACGGGGACTTATGTTTTGCCCTGTGTGCGTCCGTCCGTCCGTGCGTCCGTGCGTCTGTGATCACCTGTATCTTGAACATGCATGGACCGATTAAGTTCAAACTTCACTCATACATCACACCTTATATGGGACATATGCACATGCATTTTTTTCATGATCCGATTAACGATAGCCGAATAGCGGCCATTTTAAGGCCGAAAATGCATCAAAATCGCACATTTTCACCATTCCGGACCCGGATCTCAGTTATGCATGGACGGATTTTGTTCAAATTTGGTACATACATTAAACATAATAGGACCTTGATGCACGTCATTTTTTTTTTGGATCGGGTTTGAAATGGCCGACTGGCGGCCATTTTGTTTTAAAGAATTCAGTTCTGGATCCGTATCCGAGACATGTCTGGATTGATCAAGTTCAAACTTCACACACACAAGGTACATCATGTCACAAATATGTATGTGCATTTGTTTCATGATCTCATTAACGATAGCCGAATAGCGGCCATTTTAAGGCCGAAAATGCATCAAAATCGCACATTTTCACCATTCCGGACCCGGATCTCAGTTATGCATGGACGGATTTTGTTCAAATTTGGTACATACATTAAACATAATAGGACCTTGATGCACGTCATTTTTTTTTTTGGATCGGGTTTGAAATGGCCGACTGGCGGCCATTTTGTTTTAAAGAATTCAGTTCTGGATCCGTATCCGAGACATGTCTGGATTGATCAAGTTCAAACTTCACACA